CACGGAGGTAGCCTGGTTGTTTTGTTTTCTAGACAGTGGTTTGGTTATCGCGGTAATTTCATTGTTTGTTCTCTGGGATGATGTGTGATTAATATGTATGCAATATATGTAGCTCCTTACACTGTGATGGTCCTCTACACTGATGGTTCCCCACACTGTGATGGTCCTCTACACTGTGATGGTCCTCTACACTGATGGTTCCCTGCACTGTGATGGTCCTCTACACTGATGGTTCCCTGCACTGTGATGGTCCTCTACACTGATGGTCCCCCACACTGTGATGGTCCTCTACACTGATGGTTCCCCACACTGTGATGGTCCTCTACACTGATGGTTCCCTACACTGTGATGGTCCTCTACACTGATGGTTCCCCACACTGTGATGGTCCTCTACACTGATGGTTCCCCACACTGTGATGGTCCTCTACACTGATGGTTCCCCACACTGTGATGGTCCTCTACACTGATGGTTCCCTACACTGTGATGGTCCTCTACACTGATGGTTCCCCACACTGTGATGGTCCTCTACACTGATGGTTCCCTACACTGTGATGGTCCTCTACACTGATGGTTCCCCACACTGTGATGGTCCTCTACACTGATGGTCCCCCACACTGTGATGGTCCTCTACACTGATGGTTCCCTACACTGTGATGGTCCTCTACACTGATGGTTCCCTACACTGTGATGGTCCTCTACACTGATGGTCCCCCACACTGTGATGGTCCTCTACACTGATGGTCCCCACACTGTGATGGTCCTCTACACTGATGGTTCCCTACACTGTGATGGTCCTCTACACTGATGGTCCCCCACACTGTGATGGTCCTCTACACTGATGGTTCCCTACACTGTGATGGTCCTCTACACTGATGGTTCCCCACACTGTGATGGTCCTCTACACTGATGGTTCCCTACACTGTGATGGTCCTCTACACTGATGGTCCCCCACACTGTGATGGTCCTCTACACTGATGGTTCCCCACACTGTGATGGTCCTCTACACTGATGGTCCCCCACACTGTGATGGTCCTCTACACTAATGGTTCCCTGCACTGTGATGGTCCTCTACACTGATGGTTCCCTGCACTGTGATGGTCCTCTACACTGATGGTCCCCCACACTGTGATGGTCCTCTACACTGATGGTTCCCTACACTGTGATGGTCCTCTACACTGATGGTTCCCCACACTGTGATGGTCCTCTACACTGATGGTTCCCCACACTGTGATGGTCCTCTACACTGATGGTCCCCCACACTGTGATGGTCCTCTACACTGATGGTTCCCTACACTGTGATGGTCCTCTACACTGTGATGGTTCCCCACACTGTGATGGTCCTCTACACTGATGGTTCCCTGCACTGTGATGGTCCTCTACACTGATGGTTCCCTACACTGTGATGGTCCTCTACACTGAGCCTGGTCCTCTACACTGATGGTCCTCCACACTGAGGCTGGTCCTCTACACTGATGGTCCTCCACACTGAGCCTGGTCCTCTACACTGATGGTCCTCCACACTGAGGCTGGTCCTCTACACTGATGGTCCTCCACACTGAGGCTGGTCCTCTACACTGATGGTCCTCCACACTGAGCCTGGTCCTCTACACTGATGGTTACCTACACTGTGATGGTCCTCTACACTGTGATGGTCCTCTACACTGTGATGGTCCTCTACACTGATGGTCCTCCACACTGAGCCTGGTCCTCTACACTGATGGTCCTCCACACTGAGCCTGGTCCTCTACACTGATGGTCCTCCACACTGAGCCTGGTCCTCTACACTGATGGTCCTCCACACTGAGGCTGGCCCTCTACACTGATGGTCCTCCACACTGAGCCTGGTCCTCTACACTGATGGTCCTCCACACTGAGGCTGGCCCTCTACACTGATGGTCCTCCACACTGAGCCTGGCTCATCACACTACCTCATCGAGCGCCTCGTATCTGCTGGTAAAATGTTCAGAATGTTTCCTTCTTCCTCTTGAAACCTGACTTTTTCGCTAATTCTTATCTTGTCATTTTTACACTAGCGTTAATAACAAAAATATTAGTTCTTGTTGAGAATGACTCGCCTAGCTGTCTGTCTCAGTTCACACAAACATGAGGAAATGAAAATAAGAAACAGTGGTCCAGTTTCAGACCGAAGTTTTACATCTTCAGTAAGATTTATGAACCTGGATTTATTGGCAACGCATCAGTTCCCCGCATCACTTGGGCTCTTTCTGCATCTCCCTACCCCTTCTCTTTTCCTCCCTCTCCCATGTGTCAGTCTCTCTCTCTCTCTCTCTCTCTCTCTCTCTCTCTCTCTCTCTCTCTCTCTCTCTCTCTCTCTCTCTCTCTCTCTCTCTCTCTCTCTCTCTCTCTCTCTCTCGCTTTTACACAGGTGAGTACAGGAGACCACTTCTGACTCCTGTTAATAAGCTAAGAGCTTTCCTTTCCTAGCTCATCTTAAGCCTCACCCCTCTAGCTTTCCCTGGAGCACGACCAGCCTACTAGTTAACATCCTCGTGAACTAGACATGAAAGTACATTTCTTCACTCTCAGGTTAATGAATGTAGGGAGATAGACAGTTATGGAGGCAGCTCTATACATGGGTTCAAATATATAACAAGATTAAATCCGGTGTTAGAGATGCTATCGTGCGAAACTGGGGACCAGTAGAATCGCAGAGAGAGAGAGAGAGAGAGAGAGAGAGAGAGAGAGAGAGAGAGAGAGAGAGAGAGAGAGAGAGAGAGAGAGAGAGAGAGAGAGAGAGAGAGAGAGAGAGAGAGAGAGAGAATGTGTGTGTGTATTTACTATTTGTGTCTGCATATTCGAACTATTAGCCCTTGGACCCTACCTTCCTAACCAATCTATTTTTTCCTCTATTATATCTATTGCATATATTTCTCTCTAACACACACACACACATCAATAGGAAGCAGCCCGTAGCAGCTGTCTAACTCCCAGGTACCTATTTTCTGACAGGTGAACATGTGCATCACTGTGAAAGAAACTCTGCCAATTTGTTTCCGCCTCCGCCAAGAATCTAACCCGAGCCATTAGAACTACAACCCCCAAGCGCTGTCTACTCAGCCACGAGGCCATCAATGTGTGTGTGTGTGTGTGTGTGTGTGTGTGTGTGTGTGTGTGTGTGTGTGTGTGTGTGTGTGTGTGTGTGTGTGTGTGTGTGTGTGTGTGTGTGTGCGCGCGCGTGTAGATGATATAATTTGAAGTTTGATTATATAAATTATCACGAAAAACTACTACTGGACTGCCTTCGCATTTCTGTATTAGCATCATGTTAGAATTAGCTCAACTCGTCTAAGGTAGGGAGCCGGTCGGCCGAGCGGACAGCACGCTGGACTTGTGATCCTGTGGTCCTGGGTTCGATCCCAGGCGCCGGCGAGAAACAATGGGCAGAGTTTCTTTCACCCTATGCCCCTGTTACCTAGCAGTAAAATAGGTACCTGGTTGTTAGTCAGCTGTCACGGGCTGCTCCCTGGGGGGTGGAGGCCTGGTCGAGGACCGGGCCGCGGGGACACTAAAGCCCCGAAATCATCTCAAGATAACCTCAAGATAACCACCACCACGCTCCGCGGGTCACCTCATTTAACCTCTAGTCAGCTTAAAATTAAGTCCCGGCCATGAATAGGGGAAAGTGAGCGGCCGGGGCAGGGCAAGATGAGCAGGAGAGGGACAATTGTCCTTCTGTCCCTCTGCGGCCGGCAAGGGACAATGGACGGCCGGGGCGCCATCTATGGGCGGACAGGGAAAGATTATTATTATTATTATTAACATCTTTATTGACAAAATTAATTACAATTTTGCCTAATCTGAGGATTTCGATAGTCTTATTAAATTGAGGTTAATGCTAGTATTCACTGTCACGCAGGACAGAGGGTCATACATAAGACAATAGGTCTAAACTGTAGGCTGAAGCACATATATATCATGGTTACAATCTATGTTTTAATGTGTGGATATGTGAAAACAGGGAAAGATGAGCGTTGAGGGAGGCGGGGCCGTGTTCGGCCGGGCAGCTAGGGGGGTGTTTAGTCACACAGCCCTTAAGGTTTGAGATGAATGCATATACCTGTATACTTTTTTGGGGAATTGGTAGTAACTATACGGCTACTCACTCCTCCTGCACCCAGACACGTCTCTCGGCGTGGTGTCGGACTTAACCTGGAAGGTTATTAATTAAGACGTTACACGGATCTTGAATGTTGTTTGTGCATCACACCCGTATTCTCCCTCCACCCGACCTCCTTGGACCGTGGTAACCCGGAATACTAAACCTGTGGTATTACCTGCACTCCCTTGTCGCTTATATCAGCTCCCTCGCGTGGTACCTATATAATCCCTCGCGTGGTACCTATATAACCCCTAGAGTGGTTCCTATATAACCCCTAGAGTGGTTCCTATATAATCCCTAGAGTGGTTCCTATATAATCCCTAGAGTGGTTCCATTATAACCCCTAGAGTGGTACCTATATAACCCCTAGAGTGGTTCCTATATAATCCCTTGTGTGGTTCCTATATCACCCCTGTGGTATTACCTCATCACAACCAAACTCAACTGCGCATGAAAGTATGCATACAAAATGCAGACATTTAACATTCTGTGGAATAGTTAACATGCACGATATTGTTTATTTGTTTAAAATGAATTTTGGTTTATCTATAATAGTTTAATTAGTAATGCCCGACTAAGAAACACTGGTTATTATATATTATGGGAAGAAATGGTTATTATATATATTTCTTCATATGTAGGTATTTAATTGGATTATTTATATTGTAATATATTTTGTGCACTTTACTGCAAAGAAAGTGTGTTAGACAATAATGGTGACAGACTATAGTTTGTTATCTTATCAAACTTGTTATCTAATGTTTGTCAAATTATTATGTTTGGAGAGTCTCTTTCGTTGCTAACGAAGGAGGCGTGTGTTGGCAACGGAGGTTCGTTACCAGAAGGTGATAATCACCACATCTTGTGCCGTCCTGACAGTTCTGTCACATGGAGCTGACCATGCTATCTGCCTCCTCCCGTCTCCTGATCTTCGACAAGGCCACCACCAAAGCTATTTACCAAGGTAACCCTCAGCTGGTCGAGTACTTCGTGGGGGACGTCGACATCGACTTCCACAACGACAGAGACTTCGCCGTCATGATTATCAAATGTGAGTAACTCATTTGTTTCGTTGTGGGTCTGCACGAGTGTCTTCAACCACCCACATACTCATCTCTACTCATCAGACACGCTACTGAAGAGGGTTAACTTTAGTCTTCAATCTTTCACAGGCCACAAAATCCACTCTGACCCCCCTGTACATCAGTCTTCCTTCTAGTGGACACCCCCGTACATCAGTCTTCCCTCTAGTGGACACCCCCGTACATCAGTCTTCCTTCTAGTGGACACCCCCGTACATCAGTCTTCCCTCTAGTGGACACCCCCGTACATCAGTCTTCCTTCTAGTGGACACCCCCGTACATCAGTCTTCCTTCTAGTGGACACCCCCGTACATCAGTCTTCCCTCTAGTGGACACCCCCGTACATCAGTCTTCCTTCTAGTGGACACCCCCGTACATCAGTCTTCCCTCTAGTGGACACCCCCGTATATCAGTCTTCCTTCTAGTGGACACCCCCGTACATCAGTCTTCCTTCTAGTGGACACCCCCGTACATCAGTCTTCCTTCTAGTGGACACCCCCGTACATCAGTCTTCCCTCTAGTGGACACCCCCGTACATCAGTCTTCCTTCTAGTGGACACCCCCGTACATCAGTCTTCCTTCTAGTGGACACCCCCGTACATCAGTCTTCCCTCTAGTGGACACCCCCGTACATCAGTCTTCCTTCTAGTGGACACCCCCGTACATCAGTCTTCCCTCTAGTGGACACCCCCGTATATCAGTCTTCCTTCTAGTGGACACCCCCGTACATCAGTCTTCCTTCTAGTGGACACCCCCGTACATCAGTCTTCCTTCTAGTGGACACCCCCGTACATCAGTCTTCCCTCTAGTGGACACCCCCGTACATCAGTCTTCCTTCTAGTGGACACCCCCGTACATCAGTCTTCCTTCTAGTGGACACCCCCGTATATCAGTCTTCCTTCTAGTGGACACCCCCGTACATCAGTCTTCCTTCTAGTGGACACCCCCGTACATCAGTCTTCCTTCTAGTGGACACCCCCGTACATCAGTCTTCCTTCTAGTGGACACCCCCGTACATCAGTCTTCCTTCTAGTGGACACCCCCGTACATCAGTCTTCCTTCTAGTGGACACCCCCGTACATCAGTCTTCCTTCTAGTGGACCCCCCCGTATATCAGTCTTCCTTCTAGTGGACACCCCCGTACATCAGTCTTCCTTCTAGTGGACACCCCCGTACATCAGTCTTCCTTCTAGTGGACACCCCCGTACATCAGTCTTCCTTCTAGTGGACACCCCCGTACATCAGTCTTCCTTCTAGTGGACACCCCCGTACATCAGTCTTCCCTCTAGTGGACACCCCCGTACATCAGTCTTCCTTCTAGTCTACACCCCCGTACATCATTCTTCCCTCCCTGAAGTCTTCACCCCCGTACATTATAAGTTTAGAACCATGATTCATATTTCTGAAACCGTAGTTTCAGCCATGGTTCGAAACTTATGAGGAATAGTTCCAGACGTATGGACATAGTTCCAGACTTATGGACATAGTTCCAGACTTATGAACATAGTTCCAGACTTATGGACAGAGTTCCAGACTTATGGACAGCCAATATATCGAGTTCTGTTTATGAATAAAAAAAAACGGTTTACACACGACATACAACTGATGACGTTCGAACATTTCTCGAACAGTGCTTCATTGACAACCTCTGCTCGAATCGCACCGCTGTAAATGCATCACCCACGTACTACAAATATAAATAATTACCTGCAGAACCTAAACTGCGGCTAGATATGCACAATATGCTAATATATAATAATAATAACAATAATTTTCATCTGATAAAATTCTGATTTTGAGTACACAGTATGTTAAAATGTATGCGTGTGTCTTTGGGAAGGTTGCCCGCTGCATGGACGAGCATTGCCTGAGAATGTGTTGCAGGATGCAATAATAATAATTCTTTGTGTTTGGGGGAACAGGAAGCCATAGTGTATTCATACACGTTTGGCTTATATTAAGGTCCCTGTCCCAAGGCTGTATCCCTCGGATTAGTGGCTCAAAGAGCCCGCTGTCTCCCGGTGCTTCCTTCCTGTAGAAAAACATCTACTCGAAGTGAATGTATGCAAGGCCCTAGGATTAAACTGTGTAAGCCAATATATCCATGAAAGATATGCACTGCCACTTGCTGCCCTCGTGTTAATGCTCTCAATGTCCATCATTGTGTGAAGGCTAGGTTTGTCTGCGTCTTTCTGCTGGTTGGTCTGCTCCTGTTCTATGTATTTCTTTGCATGATGTTTCGTTCAGAAGTTCCTTCCTGCTACTTCTATCTGCTTTTTACGCTATGTCTCTTCTTTCCCTCTCGGGTACATTGTTTCCAGGCCAATTTGTTCATGAATGAACACTGTGTGTGCGTGCATGCTCTCGCACAGGTATGTGAACTCTACCTTCCTCAGTCATCTTACGCGCACCTAAAATGTACATTTCCCGCCTTCAGTCCCTCCCCGCCCCTCACCAAACTCGTTGGTCTAAAACGTTCAACAAAAAAGGAAGGTGTTGACGGCCACACGCCGGATAACGTAGTTTGTACTGACTGTACCTTTACTCTGCTCCTGTGTACAGTGCAGCTGCTGCGACGGTCGGGGTTCATCATCATGAACGTGTACATCCCGTCACTGCTCCTGCTGGTCATCAGTTACCTCACTCTCTACTTCACGCCCACCAACTTCCAGGTGCGGGTGCTCGCTTCCCTCACCTCCCTCCTCGTCATGGCCACCCTCTACACACAGGTGAGGCGCGCGCAGGGAGGCACGGTCAAGAGCGAGACAGGCGCTCACTGCCTGTCAAGTGGGGAAAGTTAGATACTATATTATCTATATTTATAGGTCGGTGACACGCCTAGACATGTGTCTACGGTAGTTATGAAACTGAAAGATGAAATATAATAACAGCATGCTGGGTATTATAATACATATGTTTGCTGTATGAAGTAATTGTACCAGTGCTTGAATAACACGTGAGCAATAAAAGTGTTGTGCCTGAAACAGGAAGGTTAAATGAACATAACACTGCTGGTTCCTCCTACCATATTACATACGATAATCATATACTTGTCATTGCAGGCCTCCGCTTCTCTGCCTAAGACCTCTTACTTCAAGATGGTGGACGTATGGCTTTTGTCAAGTATATTTTTCATCTTCATCATCATCGTCCTCCACACCGTGATCGACCGAGTGAGGGAGTGGGAGCCCACCAGCGCCAACCCTCCGGCAGGTACCAAGAAGATCACTCTCTCGCGGGCACCTTCCGAGAAGTCCACGGCCTCCAACACCGTCCACCCGTCGGAGGAAGAGAAAGTGACTGTGGGCGAGCCTGGTGGACCCCCAGATGTAGAGGAGACTAGCAACAGGTTATTGAGGCTTGTGGATATGTGCCTGAAACACGTGACTGGCACCTCTCCTGAAACGGAGCAGAGGCCGTTATTTGAGAAGATCATCCTGGGAGCCCGGGTCCTCGTCTTGGGGCTCCTTGTCGTCTTCAACCTCGTTTACTGGACCGTTGTTTTGGTGTAATCGTGTGTTAAACACTGCTGGATAGTTAGTATTCTTACAAGCGGGGTCTCTCAACCCTTGCTCATTGTGAAACTGAGAACTTGCCATTCGGCGCATGAACAACTGGCCCAGTTTATGACTGGGAGAATATTCTAGGTTGTGGCGCCGTGAGGCTGTTAAGGCTTGAGCTGTAAGATACACAGCCTGATCCATGTTCTTAAGAACAAGTGTTACAAATCTGACATTGTATTACTCCAGCTTTAGCAGTATACAGCTCAAACTGGAAGCGTTGCCAACAACGCATATTTATGCCTTTGTAAATATGTTATATGAGTGGCAGATAACCAACTGATGACACGTCGAGTCTTGGTAGTGTTCGAGTCTAAGTGTTACCATTACTGTTCTTGTAATATGTGAAGAGCGGAGCAGGCCGGAGGAACACCGCCAGCTGCCTGCCTCCCCCGACCAAATAACCGGACCTTCCCACACACCGCGCTATATTGACCACCTCTACCATCTGTAGCTTCATATATTAATTTGTGATATAATATCCAATTGTAGAGTTTAGCAAGTAGTATTACTAAGATTATCACACTATATCTGTGACGCAATATACTCAGCGAATTTCTCTATAAGAATTGAAGGGTTATCTTGAGATGATTTCGGGGCTTTAGTGTACCCGCGGCCCGGTCCTCGACCAGGCCTCGACCCCCAGAAAGCAGCCCGTGACAGCTGACTAACACCCAGGTACCTATTTTACAGCTAGGTAACAGGGGCATAGGGTGAAAGAAACTCTGCCCATTGTTTCTCGCCGGCGCCTGGGATCGAACCCAGGACCACAGGATCACAAGTCCAGTGTGCTGTCCGCTCGGCCCCCTTGGGTACAAACAACCCTGGAGAGATGGACAAACCATGCAGCAGAAAATGAAGAAATGACCACGTTTCGGTCCGTCCTGGACCAGTATCAAGTCCGGACCGAACCGCCATTGTTTCTTCATTTTCTGATGTGTGGTTTGTTCATCATATCTTCAGGCACGTTATTGTGACTCATCGTCTGCAACCCTGACGAGATTCATTTAACATGAAGGTAGAACAAACTATGTTTTTACTTTGTTTCAATCGCAGACAATAATTAAGAGAAACACACGTGCTAGAGTCCTTGTACATAGTAAATCCATCTTTGTCAGCCGTGGTGGAAGAATGCAGTCAGCATATACGTGAAGGTGACGTGTTTGATAGTGAAGGTGACGTGTTTGATAGTGAAGGTGACGTGTTTGATAGTGAAGGTGACGTGTTTGATAGTGAAGGTGACGTGTTTGATAGTGAAGGTGACGTGTTTGATAGTGAAGGTGACGTGTTTGATAGTGAAGGTGACGTGTTTGATAGTGAAGGTGACGTGTTTGATAGTGAAGGTGACGTGTTTGATAGTGAAGGTGACGTGTTTGATAGTGAAGGTGACGTGTTTGATAGTGAAGGTGACGTGTTTGATAGTGTGGGAGGTAGAGGTGTGATGAGTGCTTCACCAGTGACGTCTCTCTCACCAACCTGAGCAGCGGGGTCGGCGTGGTGGTGTTCCAGCGTTATTCCTCGTAGTCTAATTTCCTTGCGATGGTTCCATGAAGGAAGTACAATAACTGTATTTTTACAAAAATTCTTTATGAAGATACTGCAATGTTGGAGCGATTTGAGCCCGTGTAGTGGAGGACATTTGTGTAAGAACAGTTTGCGAACAGGTAAAGAATGTATCGAAGAATGTATCTGGTTGTTGAGAGAGACACCGAGTTGAAAGTTGACTTTGTTGGTTGAGAACGTTTTACGCGTAAGTTTGTTGTATGTATAACAGAGATAAACGAGGCGAGTGATAATATAGATGGAAAGTGGGTGAGGTCGGGGCGGTGAAGGTGGCATGTAAGAAAAGTAAGGGATATTGCTATAATTGATAAGGTTAACAACTTGAAATCATTGATGGTTTTACTTGATTATGTCAATGGTGTTGCAGAGTTAGATGACCACAGGCTGCAATTTCCTTCTCAAGTGAAGAACATAAGAAATATAGAGAAGATTCGCTCTAGTATAATTCATGTATGAGAGGGAGAGAGAGAGAGAGAGACAGAGAACGAGAGAGAGAGAGAGAGACAGACAGACAGAGTCACAGACAGAGACCTACAGGAGAGAGAGGGGGAGAGAGAAATACAGGAGCGCCTGACTATTGGCCCCAAATACAAAGCAGATTCAACTTACATCCAACAACACCCACCCAAATATTTGTCTAGAGCTCCATAAACCAACAATCCAGTCTCGAAGCCAGTATTTACCCACCTTTTTTCTGAATCTAAATTTATCTAATTTGTAAACATTATCTTGAGCTATATTTCGTGTGAATTCGAGTTTTCTCTTATAGTTTGTTCACCTTTTCTATCATATCCCCACTATGTCATGCCTAGGGTGCATGTGCTGCTCTGTGTAAGTAGACTCAGTGAGACATAGTCGTAAATCCAACACGAAAATCAGTGTAATGATTTTCATTACAAATTTAGCCATGTTTAACCCAGTGAAACAGTTAATAAGGAAAAAACTTTCGTCACGAGTTAAGGACAAGGGAACGAGGACTAAAAAAGATGCTACTTGCACAACTATTGAGATTATATATATATATATATATATATATATATATATATATATATATATATATATATATATATATATATATATATATATATATATATATATTAGCAGCAGGTTTTCATTTAGACATGTTTCATTGAATATAACTGCATATTCCGTGTTGATTATTTACTTGTTTGGGAGGTCTGGAGCTGGGTGGTTTGGTTACAGTTCAAGTTAAGTTATTTACGTGTTTATGACTTCTATCCCTCCAACTAGTACTCTTGCATCTTGGTTTAATTGGAATAAGATTTCTCCAAATGTTACATTTGTTCAAGGTTGACTAAAAGAACGAAAACTAATTGCCTAATGTATTACACTTATTGTGTGTGTGCGTGCGTACGTGGGTGTGTGCGTGTGTGTGTGTGTGTGTGTGTGTGTGTGTGTGTGTGTGTGTGTGTGTGTGTGTGTGTGTGTGTGGTTACATCACGAACAAAACAAAAGCACGTGATAACTAATTTGGTACCATTTAACCACGACAGTGAAACAGGAAATGCCTACACACTCTGGTGTGCCTTTCCTCTACAGTAATAATAATAGCCGCCCCTGCACAATAAATATATTCTGAATGGTAAATGTGTGTCACAAGTTACAGGTAGGAAAATTACACTGAAACAAAACAATATGTTTAGGAGATAAGCTGATTATGTCACAGATAATGGCCGTCTCATCTCTAATGAGAACAGTTGTTATTACTTTTCTTATTGAAATGTTTTTTTATATATAAATACAAATGAAACATGAATGTACAATCCGTTATTGATATTCATATTTAGTGATTCTGTAATTTGTATTATAGCAGATTTAATGATACTCATGTTTCATTTTTAATGAAAAACTCTGTCAAATGGTCACTGGAGGGGAACCTTGTCAATCAATTTGGTGAGAATTTTCAGATAAATTAACAAAAAAGACATTATAAATTTAGCCATGTTTAACCGACTGCATAGGTTGAAAAATGAAAATTATAGATATTATTATTATTAGCATTTTTATTACTATTAATTTAGTCACAAATAATAATTATCATGGTACTGATAATTATTTATCTCATTTCATGGTATTTTCTAGATTATAGTATTACCCGGTGGGGTGGGGGGGGGGGGGGTGTTAGATGATATTCGGCACTAGGAATTTTGCATGAGTGTCAACATTATTAAACACTTGAAAATAATGTCAAGGTATTAACCAATCTTCAAAACCAGAGACGGCCAACATGCTGTATTTTTAGAGTGACTTATCTCAATATTAACTTTGTGGAAGTTTGTGTTGTGCTTTGCTACGGCAGAGTCTCCTCAACACGGTAACATGAGTCCAGGAACGCGGAGGTTCGATCCCGCCATACGGCCTCTCATCGTGTTTATGTGTGTGTCTGGGGAATCCAGAGACGCAGGTTCAGTTCTATTGCACTGTCTCAATATTTCATCATAGATATATTACGATCTTGTGAGGTGACTGTGCTGAGACCTGGTATTGGGCACATGTACCAACCAACATGACTGTCTCTACACCATAATAAAACATTTTGGTAACTGTTTACAGTCTTATGGAGGATTTTGATTACTGAAACTTTGAGGCAATCTCGCATACTTCCTCATCAGCGCATTAAGGAGTACAACCACGTGTTGTACTCCTTAATGTTTTTGTTATAATCCTTAATGTTTGATTCAGTGTTACTCACAGTAACACTGAATAAAACTATTTCTCTTTTCTGTGATGGTTCTAGTGCAAAGGAATATACGTCAGTACGTTTACGATAGATACTAACTACCTATCACTGTATCCAATGACAGAGATCTATTCTGCTCTCCTGCAATAGTTAACTAATAGATGGGACCAAAACAAGTTATTGGATGTTGACCTAACCACACACTAGAAAGTGAAGGGACGACGACGTTTCGGTCCGTCCTGGACCATTCTCACAATCGACTTGAGAATGGTCCAGGACGGACCGAAACGTCGTCGTCCCCTTCACTTTCTAGTGTGTGGTCTGGTCAACATATTTCAGCCACATTATTGTGACTCCTCGTCTGCAAGTTATTGGATCTTAACATAAAACAACATAAATCTTTAGACTCAGACAATAAGCATAATATGAGTAATTATCAAAAGAATACACCAAGCCGGGAAGACCACTCAGCATACAAACATAACATATCATCAACACATTTCTCCCACATATATTCTATAAGCAGTATGCCATTAACAATTCTAGTCTCGTGTAGATGAGACTACATAATAATTATAATATACTTAGGCTATATTCCTAAGGTGACTTGTTCCTCGATAACTAAGAACAAGTGTGTGTGTCCAAGTAGGCGAGAAGGTTCCCGACACAAACTAGAGCCAGATGCAATGAGTATAAATTGGATAAGCTCAGATTTAAGAAAGACCTGGGTAAATACTGGTCGGGAAATAGTATTGTTGGTTTGTGGAGCAAATTACCGGGTAATATAACAGACAAGTCTATAGATTGTTTCAAGCGTTGGTTAGACATATATATATGAGTTTGGGTGGATATAAACAGAAGCTGCCGTCTGCACATCCATTTATAATTATTTTCTTATGCATAACGCATTCATGAAAGTGAACCAGGCTGGGTAACTGGGTGACAGGAACAAAGAGAAAGATCAAATTAACATACGCTGGCGAGTATAATGATGACAATAACAATTTTATTTAGGGAAAAGTATATACATATAAAATGAGTTACAGGTTGAATGTTGGATTTATAATAATAATAATATAATAATTTTTATTTAGGCAAAGGTACATACATAAAGAGATTTTACAAAGTTTGTTGGCTTTATAGATAAGAGCTAGTACATACAATGCCTAAAGCCTGGATTCTAGATTTCTATGTCTAGATTCTAGCCTGGATTCTAGATCTCAATGCCTAAAGCCTGGATTCTAAATTTCTAGACAAAGCCAGTATATACTATGCCTAAAGCCACTAGTCCGCACAGCGTTTCAGGTAAAGTTATAATAAGGGGTATTTTATACTCGGCATTTGGTATAAGGGAAGGTCAAGTGTTTGGGGGTATGCTAAGGTAAAGTGTCTGGTAATGGATATAATGGAAGGGTCATTTGTCAATGTTGGTACACCGGGATAAGTAAAGCTGGAGCAGGTACACAGACGGTTAATGGTCCAATGTTGTGTAAGTTTGGCGGCAGCCAACACCATGAGGGAAAGTTCACACTGGCAGAGTGAAAAAACTGACTGACAGACAGAAAGCTGTCATTGGCAAAGGGAAGACTGACACTGTCAGGCAGAAAGCATCAGCACAATCAAGGATTATAATATTATACCAATCATTCGCTAAGTGCTACAGCATGGCAAATTATGCAACAATAAAAATTATAATTATAAAATGGACCTGTACGCAACTTAAAGAAGTCAAACCAAATTTATGACCAGTACCGCAAAAAGCGTTCGCAGCTACTAAATAAGCGATGAGATGCCAATTAAAATGTACTATTTTGATGACCTTAAAATAAAGAAAACATGAACGCCGCATAACACAAAAAATTGCGTCAGTGATTTTTTTAAATTTTCTATCCCAAACATCATGCCACTTTAGGCGTCTGGTCTGGACCGTGTTTCGTACGAGTCGTTTAACCTGCAAATAATATAAAAAATAAGCCTTGTATTCTAAACCAAATGTAAAAAAAAAAAATACATTCAATGAAAAATAATCATTGCCCGAAACGCATTGCGTAATAGTGGCTTTAGGCATTGTATGTACTAGCTCTATCTATATATCAATCCATTAATGTAACATCACTTGTATGTATGTACCTTACCTGAATAAACATATTTATTTATTTATTTATTTATTTAATCTTACGAGACGGTCATAAAAGTTGAAATTAATGTTATTGCAGACTGTGATGTATGAATGAAATAAGTGCATTTGATACATTGCAAACCTTGTTGAGAAACACCGATCTTGCAAAATGTTAATGTTGCAATGAATATTTTGCATACATTATACAGTTTTCTCGTGAAAGATATAATTTATACATTATTAAGTGCAAACCAAGGCCTAGACAAGACAAAGGGGACTCTTAGCAACTTTCTGCGAGGTCAGCCCTTACGGTTGGCAACACTGGTGTTTAGCGAAGTCAGCCCTCACGGTTGGCAGCACTGGTGTTTAGCGAAGTCAGCCCTCACGGTTGGCAACACCTTGTTTACCGCACAAATAATGGCGCGAAACCCATTAGAGTTAAATTGAAATAATTAAGGAGCTGTTTAAGGAAATATTTCGAACGGTATTGAACTGTTTAAGTAAATATTTCGAACGGTATTTGAGCTGTTTAAGTAAATATTTCGAACGGTATTTGAGCTGTTTAAGGAAATATTTCGAACGGTATTTGAGCCGTTTAAGGAAATATTTCGAACGGTATTTGAGCCTTTTAAGGAAATATTTCGAATGGTATTTGAGCCGTTTAAGGAAATATTTCGAAAGGCATCTAAATCACAATATTTTATTTACCCGCATACGTTTTTGGTGACATATTTGGTAATATTTCAGATATTAGACATGCCAGAATTAAGATAGTGGCTCACCTTAACACAGTTTAAATTTTAATATGTTCTCAGTGCACAAAATATTTGATATTCAAAGCAAATTTTATTAGGACAAATCTTTACTGAATGTACCGACCTTACCTGCTTTTATACGTTATTCTGAACATTTTAATATATATATATATATATATATATATATATATATATATATATATATATATATATATATATATGATCAACTTCAATAAAGAATACACGATAAACAAAAAAAAAACTGTGCAAACTTGACTTATTTCAACCTATGAAGCTCTCCTCAGTCATCACGGTGACTGTGTACTGGTCATCATGGTGACTGTGTACTGGTCATCATGGTGACTGTGTACTGGTCATCATGGTGACTGTGTACTGGTCATCATGGTGACTGTGTACTGGTCATCACGGTGACTGTGTACTGGTCATCATGGTGACTGTGTACTGGTCATCACGGTGACTGTGTACTGGTCATCATGGTGACTGTGTACTGGTCATCACGGTGACTGTGTACTGGTCATCATGGTGACTGTGTACTGGTCATCACGGTGACTGTGTACTGGTCATCATGGTGACTGTGTACTGGTCATCATGGTGACTGTGTACTGGTCATCATGGTGACTGTGTACTGGTCATCATGGTGACTGTGTACTGGTCATCATGGTGACTGTGTACTGGTCATCACAGTGACTGTGTACTGGTCATCATGGTGACTGTGTACTGGTCATCATGGTGACTGTGTACTGGTCATCATGGTGACTGTGTACTGGTCATCATGGTGACTGTGTACTGGTCATCACGGTGACTGTGTACTGGTCATCACAGTGACTGTGTACTGCCACAACTACACACTGGTCTGCACCTCGGGCTCTCAGCCCAGGGCCCGGGTGCCATCCCTTCACAACTCTTGGTGTGGGTGGTACACTCCCCACACTCCTGGGGCCAGATTCACGAAGCAGTTACGCAAGTACTTACGAACGTGTACATCTTTCTTCAATTTTTGACGGCTTTGGTTACATTTATTAAACAGCTTTCAAGACTAAAAACATCCCAGTCTACTGTTGTTATTGTTATAAACAGCCTCCTGGTGCTTCGGAGTTCATTAACTGTTTAATAATTGTAAACAAAGCCGCCAAAGATTGAGAAAAGGTATACAGGTTCGTAAGTGCTTGCGTAACAGCTTCGTGAATCTGGCCCTCTAGTGAGGTGTAAGTGAGTAGGACCTTGGTGAGTAGGTATACTCACCACATTCCTGGTGAGGTGTAGGTATACCTCCCATCCATCATTCATGTCGGATAAATAAATGATTTATCATAAACTATGGTGTCCAGCCGCATCCTAGTACTGAATTGTCTCTATACAGTCAAAATTCTGAACCCTGTCAGGGCTGGTTATTTTTAGTCTCAGTAATGGGGCTGGAACAGTAAAGTCTCAGTAACGGGGCTAGAACAGTAAAGTCTCAGTAACGGGGCTAGAACAATAAAGTCTCAGTAACAGGGCTGGAACAATAAAGTCTCAGTAACGGGGCTGGAACAGTAAAGTCTCAGTAACGGGGCTGGAACAGTAAAGTCTCAGTAACGGGGCTGGAACAATAAAGTCTCAGTAACGGGGCTGGAACAGTAAAGTCTCAGTAACGGGGCTGGAACAATAAAGTCTCAGTAACGGGGCTGGAACAGTAAAGTCTCCGTAACGGGGCTGGAACAATAAAGTCTCAGTAACGGGGCTGGAACAGTAAAGTCTCAGTAACGGGGCTGGAACAATAAAGTCTTAGTAACGGGGCTGGAACAATAAAGTCTCAGTAACGGGGCTGGAACAGTAAAGAATCAGTAACGGGGCTGAAACAGTAAAGTCTCAGTAACGGGGCTGGAACAATAAAGTCTCAGTAACGGGGCTGGAACAATAAAGTCTCAGTAACGGGGCTGGAACAGTAAAGTCTCAGTAACGGGGCTGGAACAATAAAGTCTCAGTAACGGGGCTGGAACAGTA